CAAAAAATGTGAGAGAAAGTTAAAGACAGCATTCACTCATGCTTTATGTACTTTTCAATCTAAATATATCTTAATAAAAATTGAATCTAAAGACAACCAATGCAATTATTTGTTACAGTGTTGAAAGTGTAATAAATAAAAATATATATTAAAATGGTAATTGCCTTGCCTCATATAATAGTATAAATGGTAATATACAGTGCTGTTATTGATCTTATTTCTGCTTTAATCATATCATGGTGCAAAACACAGCAGATAAAACTCTTTTCTGATAAACAGTTGTCTAATTATTATTTCTTATAATTTTAAATAATTTTGTAAAAAATATCCATACCACTGTGTCCTTCAAGTGATTGATTCATGGAGAGATTGCTGGGAGCAGCCAGACCCTTCACCTTGGCATCTTTACCTAGAAAAAATTGATAAATAAATATTCAAATTAATATTAAACACTTTTAAGCTATTTTCTTAGTCTAAATGTACTTATCCAATTCAGACCATAAAAATGATCAAATTCCTCAAATCATAGTATATCATCATCAAAAGTAAAAGACATAGTTTGTTAACCTTCATTATGGTAGTCTCAAATGTGTTTTAAAATAAAGCAGCCCATTTTCAACAATTTTCAGGCAGTGTGTGTGTGTGTGTGTGTGTGTGTGCGCGCGTGTCTGTGTGTGTGGGGGGGGGGAGGGGGTTAAAGATATGTATAGTTTATTACCTGTGGCAGTCTCAAGTTTCAATACTTTAAGCAGTCCATTCTCCCCACCACAGGCTATGTACCCCTGCTCTCTGTTCCAGGCTACACACCTCAGAGTGGTGTTGTTTGGGATGGCAATCTGGAAATTACATAGCAAAAGTGCTGTAAAAAATGGACCCTGTGTAACTCTACTCTAGTCAAAGGGAGCGCTGTAATTGTTAGTATAAACAGAATCATAGCACATAAACACTCATTAACAATTCTTTGTGGTTGATATTTGAAACAAATGGTCACTCTTTCTGTCTTTATTTTTTATTAATTTTTTTTTTTTTTTTTTTAATTTCATTTTATTTTAAATTGAATGTTTTTTAAAACCAATCTTTTGGCACAGGTGAAGTGCATGAAATAATGAAGTATGCACTATATCAGTAAAAAAAACTGAAATGAAACACAACTTTGACAATCAACCGTTAAGTGAAGCAAATGATCCTAATCCTGTCGATATTTACAGAGTGTATCCGACTGCCAACATACTGGCTGAGAGTTTTTACTTCAGATAAGTAGAGCTTCATTGGCAACCAAACTTCACCAATTATTTATACCAAAAATCAGCATTGTAATCCCATTTTCTTTTTGCAAAGTAGCCTTACCTTCTTGCTCAAGTAAATAAACATCTTCGTTGACTGGAAATTGCACGCAGTAGTCTTTTAATACACCAAGTTTCTGTCAATCAACCTCAACTTTTTTCGAAGCCGGCCATCGTATCTCGGAATGTCTCGCGAGCTTTGCGGTGAATTGTGGGTAATCGGCCTTTCTTGACCACGTGACAAAGGCACTAGGTAGGGAGTGAGAAGAGCTCCAATTCATTGCAAATTTATGTGAAAATATATCGCTCACTCTGAAACATACTGGATATAACAAACGAATGCATAGTATTTAACTCGCTTATTATGTATTTCAGATTAAACTAGTCCGATAAAAGTCTGAAAATGGTCGCCCAAAAGAAGACGGTAAGCAATCTGTCCACCGCCATTTTCTTTCCCACGTGTTCTGTAATGTGTAGCAACTAATTTAGTGATCCAAACATTTACCATTCAAAGTCATTCATAAAGGAATGTTTTATCTCTTATCTCTCACTAGTATAGTTACTGTTTTAGGTAAGGTTTCAGTCAAAGGCCGGTTTTGTTTCCAGTTCAAATGAGAACAAGGGGAAGGGGAAAATTAGAGAGTTGGGGGGGGGGGGAGGATGTAGAAACAGGAAGAAAGATTCCTGTCACATTGATTAGTTGAAGCATTTGCCATGGATATGATGGCATCAAATGAATTTTAGAAGTAGAAATTTTGTTACATGTATAGTATTAGAGAAAAATGGAGATGGGTGTTGTTGTGTACAGATGAGACACCCTGTATTTGAGAATTAAGGTGATACTAAATTTTCATCTGTATTCCTTTGACATCTTTAATGTCAATCTGAAAAGAGCTATTTCATTTCTTAAACTCAGAAATTTGGGGTGTAAAAGGGAACTTGACTAGGTGGGGTGCAAAGACGAGCTGATAAGCATTGATCTTCCTGCACAACAGTGTCCTACTAGAACTGCACGTCTTGGTGGAAGGACTGAAACTGAGGCTGCAGTGTGGATAGTGTGGGCTGTGCAAGGGAAGGAGATCAACCTCCAAGACAGGCTATGGGCCAGTGCCATCTGTAGGACCTCTTTCTTAATGTCCCATTGCTGTATGGCCTCCATACCTGCTACAAATATTTAATAAAAAAAAAAAAATAGGTGGTTGTAAAAACTGGACCCAATTCCCATAGACCTCATTGGTCTACCCAAATCGATCCAACTCTGCAGTTATCCGAGTGGATTAATTTGTGTCCTGAAATTAAGTAGAATACAGCAGAGCTGTGTTTATAAGTTTGGAAACTAGAGGAGGGATGCCATACAGGCACGGATCCAGAGATAATTTCTGACAGTCTTACAAATTATCTTTTTTGTTCCATCCTCCATTTTTGACCGTCTTCCGACAGAAAAAACTGTATACCCATCAATGTAAACTCTAAAATCTGACCGTCTTCCAGAAGACCCAGAAGACGGCCTCAATCCGCCCCTGCCATATATTTAAAGTGATTGCTCTTATTGAGAGTCCCTGCAGAGTTTGGTCAATTTACATATAGCAATGGTTCTACTGTATAGATTAGGTTAAGGCAGTTGTTACATGCTGTTATAGTTTTAAATGGATCTTTTTGTGTATATTACAGAAAAAGGCATTGGAGAACATCAACTCCCGCCTGGCTCTTGTGATGAAGAGCGGCAAGTACGTCCTGGGCTACAAGCAGACGCTGAAGACCTTACGCCAGGGGAAAGCCAAGCTCATCATCATTGCTAACAACACCCCAGCTCTCAGGTGAGGTGGCCTAGATAATTTGATGTCACTCCTAACACAATTGTTTTGTATGAAACTTGAGTTAAAAGAAAATATATATATCAATCTAATTTTCCTTTTGAAATTCTTAACATGCATTCACGCAATTATGTCCACACTGCTAAGTAGTTAAAGAAATTCATATAACAAGTCAGTTTAAGGATTGAAGTATTTCAGTTAATAAGATTTGAATAGTTATAATCAAATGGGATTGAGATATCAGTTCAAATTGTACCCTATAAAATGTGCTCGACTTCGGAGTCCCACACCAAGGGGGTTAAGATGAAGTCGCCCAATTCTCATGTTTTGTCTGCTTTCTATTAAAAGATGAGGTTATGCCATCAGGTAAGGTCACACACAGAGAGTTACGTGTTGTTAACATGGACTTTGATCCCTACTCACTAGCTGCAGCAAAGACTGCACATTATGGTCTATGGTAAGAATGCTTAATATCTGTGACACAATTTCAGTAGTGTATCTAAATACTTTGGATGCCACCTGAAAGGGGAGTCACTGAGGGGTTTTTTTTTTTTTTTTTTTTTTTTTTTTTGTAAGCAATAAATGTTCCCATTAAGGAGCACTTCCTAACCAACGTGGGTGTTTTTCATAGACATTATCTACCACAGATATGTCCCCGGCATGTTGTTTTTGTCTTTGGCAGAGTGCAGAAGGTTCATGCTAACATTAGAAATGAGATTACTGGGTTAATTTAGGTAGCTTCTGGAGAATGGAAAAACAAAAACATTGCATTTTTTTAGATGGGACAGAGTCAAAATACAAATGGTATACTATTGATCTCGAACATGTGTCATCTTATTGATTGAAAGGCAGAGAGTTGAGTATGAATAAAACTGGTCTATGTAAATATTTGTTTTAGTTTGGATTCTGTGTGAACAGTAGTTAGAAGAGCCTACAGATATGAACTCAATGTATGCCCAAATTACAAAAAGACAAAATTTGAGCTCTCATTATATTTTTACTTTCCAATTTTGAGATAATACCACGCAAATTTCATTTAAGCTCCCATTAACAATGTTTACTTTTCAGTCTTTGAGAAGCACAGTGGAACACCAAGAAAATTTAATTTGAACTCCCATTAATAATATTTTCTTTCCAGTTTTTGTGAAGCACAGTAAATCACCAAGCTAATTAAATTTGCTCTCCTATTAACAATAGTCTTCACATGTTCCAGGAAGAGCGAGATCGAGTACTACGCCATGTTGGCCAAGACTGGCGTCCATCATTACAACGGGAACAACATAGAGCTGGGCACTGCCTGCGGAAAGTACTTCCGGGTCTGCACCCTGAGTATCACTGACCCAGGTGAGTACAGGGCTGGGCGGGATTGTATTGTGGATGTTTCTTGCTACTTTGTGTTTACCAGGGTGATTAATTTGTGTAAAACTGGTAGAAGCACACAGATGACTGAAAGTTTTCACAATATATGAGACATGTCAATTTTTTACCAGATTTAAGTCAAAATGTTATTGATTTCATTCAGAACTTTTTTATAGGACTATGGTTAGCTTTTTGGCTTTATTATTATTATTTTAATAAAAAGGTTTATTTTAACCAAATTTATCTTAAAAATGTTTTTTTTTTTTTGTAACCAATCCAACTAAAATTTACGGACAAAATTGTTCTTTTCATTTTAAATTAATTATTTAATTTGCATTTTCAGGTGACTCCGACATCATCAGGAGTATGCCGTCAGGGGACGCCACTGAGAAGTAAACTAAGACTAGTGGCGCCATCTTTATACACAGACGACCATCACAATTTGAGAATTCTGTTCGTATTTGGTTCATCTGATGTAATAAAAGATCGAACTATGTAATATCTTGTGTTCTCTTGGTTTTTGAATTAAAAAATCCCACGACACCACATGTAAAGATAACGGAATGGGCAGCTGGAAAAGAGAAAATACCGTTGGTGACATTTCAGGTTGGGAAAGAGTCCGCATACAACAGTTTAATTACTTGATTTGACTACCCTCTACAGGGATCGCAAATAGTTTTATTTCACTAAAGGGTATTTCTCCCCAGTTTACAGAAAAAAATTATATTTGGTTATAAATATGAATCTCGCATCCTTTACCAGGTCAACTATCATAAATATAAAATACATTATTTAATTATCTAGTTTTAACTAGATTAAATTATTTATTCAAAATCAATGCGGTCGAAGAAAAACAATACAAAATAACAAGAGCACATTCAGAGCATCGACCGTCTAGATAATGAAATGAAGTTTTAAGAAACACCGATACAGCCAAAACTGAACTTTCCCGCCAGAAGGCCTTTCTGTCTTGCAGAATCTATTAAAAATTGTGAAGACCTCATCAATGACATACTTTGTACATTAACTTACTAGTGTAGTTGCGTTTATGATTTCGGAAAAAAGAATCAGTTGGCATCGAGAAATTATCTGGTTAAATTATGCATGTAACATTGGGAGCAGATTAAAAATTAAACGTTACTGAAAATTTGAACGGGGGTCTGCTTATCTCGAGTGCCATTTCGTACGGACAGTATGCCAAGAACAATTTTTATTTATTTATTTATTTATTTATTTATTTATTTATTATTATAATTATTTATTTATTTAGAAGGACTGAATTTAGAAAGAGAAGTAGCTTTGCAGGATAGGCAGACATAGGGTATGATTTTGGGACATTTTCAAACGCGGAATGGAATGAAATGAAAGCCCGAGTTCCCATATGATTAGAATAGGTTGGGATTAGTCGTAATATTGGGATTACATGCTGTATATGAGACGGGGAACGGACTACGGTTCCTAGCGGACCACCATTCCCGTCCAGTGAGGCGGACAATATGACGTCGCTAGGCAGGTCCGACTTCATCTAATTACTGCAATATAACTCTAGTTTAGGATAATTTATTATGACAGGCCAAATCAATGTGCAGTAAAATAGACTGCGCATTCCGCCCAAGTGGTTAGTAGAAGTTTAACCAACAAATAAAGAAACAGTTTGGGTTTTAATTGCTACATTATCAACAGACCGGAGCTCGTCAACAAGGTAAAGGTTGGTCTTCACCGTATCCAAATACCGTATGACTGCCAAGAACTCGAGCATCATAACAAAACCCTCGGAGATATTTGAGTATAATGTATAACAATCAGTAATATGTCAACGGTTTACCAAAACTTTCACGAAAGTGAAATTTCGTTATCTAAGCAAAATTTAATTAGACAATCATTTGGATACGGAATCCACACCTTTATGATTAGTTAGGTCAAAGAAGTAATATTAAAGAGAAACCTCGCCGGGAGAGCGTCGTAAAGTAGTATCTGCCATTTTATACGCTGTTAGGATATTGGCAGTTAAAATGCTTTGAATTCTGCAAATATTTTTTTCTTACAAACGATCAACTCATATCTGCAAACAATTTTGAGCAGCGCTTTTATTCCAGATACCATGTCTAATAGACTCATGGTAAAGAAAACACAAAATACCGGTGAAGATATACATATCTTGAATTTTTTTTACCATTTTTTTGTCGAATTCGAGCATGCATCCCCTCAAATCTCTGAAATCTGATGTTACACAGTGTTTTCCCCAGAAGTTAAAAATGTCCATCATAAGTAAAAAAAAAAAAAAAAAAAAAAAACTACACACCACAACTAGCATCAGCAAGGCATTGGGGTGGGGTAACCTTTTTGACTAAGAGTACATACTTATTAATTCGCATTAATTCGAAGATGTTCCCACATCTGACGATTAAACATTCCATCCGTCCAACCATACAGTATCTTGCTATGCCTGTTTGATGAAAACGCGTTGCGTTTTTGGGCCAAAGAACGGTTGAACACGGATCGACAGTCAAACAACAAGGTTACACGGTTAGATACAGGTATAAGTTTTTTTATTTATTCATTCATTTATTTATTTTTTTTTCACAAACGATAATCTCGTATCTGTTAGCAAATTTGAACAGCGCTTTTATTCCAAATACCATGTCTAACATAACACATGGTACAGAAAACGCAAAATACCGTGAAGATAAACATTTTTAAAGATATACATATCCTTAATTTTTATGCCTTTTTTCCAATTTACAGCATGCACCTCCTCAAATCTCTGAAATCTGATGTTCCACATTGATTTCCACACAGGTTAATAATGTCCATAAAGTCAAAAAAAAAAAAAAAAAAAAAAATCTCCAAATTTACACACACAACTAGCATCAGCAAGGCATTGGGGTGAAACAACCTTTTTGACTAAGAGTATTTATAATTTATATATTTATTAATTCGCATCAATTCGAAGATGTTCCCAAATCTGTGGCGATTAATTTTCCATTCGTGCAACCATACAATAACTTGCTACGTACGGCTGTTTGACGAAAGCGTGCCGCGTTTTCGGGCCGGCTAAGGTTAATATAACCAATAACGTTAAGATAGCTTTATGGTTTTGTTACAAAACTTTCTGTGGTTGCTGGGAATGTGTTCCACAAGTGGGGTACTTTCTTTACAACTGAAATATCTTCTAAGGTGAAACATTAAAATATTCATTCGTTTTCATTAAATGATAATAGGGCGAAAAAGCGTATTTTGTGACAAGACCAAAACCACAAATGGCATTATTGGGACAAACTGTGAACGATAAAAAGACCACGTTGATATACATGTACTATGAGCATTTCTGTAAAATTCATCTTCCACAATCTTTAAGACAGACTGGTTTGCACTGGAAACCAACACAAATATTCATTATTATTATTATTATTATTATTATTATTATTATTATTATTATCTTTTGATGCCAAATGGCATAAAAAATTGAGATATTTAGTGAAAAAATACTTGTATTAAAATTACATGTACTTTAAGTGACAAGGTAATTTTAAAGCACATTAAGTACATAAAATACTTCTTTTTGTGGTAGAATGTCAATCTCACTTCTTTTGGTGTCAAATTGTAAAGCTCCCAAAAGTTACGAGAGATAAAAGTTACCTTTGTTTATAATAAATTGTAAATCTCACTTCTTTGCTATTAAACTGTCAATCCTTAAAAGAATCGCAAGCCAGAAAAGTCACCCCTAACAATATTAATTAAAAAATAAGATAACATGAACTTAATATGAGACACAACAGCATTTTTAACACGATTTTTGACCTTATCTGAATACCAGGCAGCGTTTATATCATTATTTGTCCAGATAAATGCCATGAATTGACGTCAAAAAAGTCAAATGTCCTTTTTCCACTGGCCATTATACTTTGACACAACTTTAAAGAGTAAACTGATCTTAAAACACCATAGGTTAATGTCTTTTTAACTGTGTGCCAGCTCACCTTCATAATGGACATGAAGTTAGTCCAATCAGCTTTCATTTCGACTTTCTCATATCATTGTCGCCTGCAAAATTATACCGTATTTGTTGGTATAAATACAAGTTCCCTCTAAAGTTTCCTCAAATAAGCCAAATCGGGTTTAAGTTTGCACAGCCAGGGGAAGAAATAACGGTTCGAAAAACTGCAGGAAAAAGATGAAGACGTTTTTGATTGTTGCTTTGTGTCTTAGCTTGCTGTTTGTGGGTAAGTTTTACATATGCAAGTAAAACGACAAATTGCTTGTGTCACAATTTCGATTTTGCTGTTTAAAACCCAATTTTCTTTCAGTTACCAGTATGGCATTGACATTAAAAGGATACACGTAACAACTGTTCATTTTGTCAGGAAACGTGGTATAAAGCTGATTTGCCAAGGGTAAACGGCGATTTTCCCATGCTTACATGTACCAATAAAATTAATCCGTTCCGACATTTAAGGTTTTTTAAGTTTGGCATTCGTTAAAATCCCTAAAAATTCCAGATTAATTGGGCATTTATATCTCTGGTGCACTAACACGTACCGTTGCAATTCAACTTTGTTTAACAAAAGTGAAAGGTAATAATGAAGAGTTGCCAGAATCATACGTTATTTATCATAATTTATTATAAGTTAGATCTTGTGGTCATCATGTCTTTAGGAATTCAGGGCCATATGTGATAATAAGAGAGTGTGTTGTCAGAGCCAGAAACTTAACTGTTCTTCATTTATTTCCAAATATCATGCAAGTATTATACACACAAACACACACACATACACACACGCACACGTGCGGCGTGCGCACACACACACACACACACACACACACACACACACACACTGTAATTTATTGTATTCTGCGACTTTTATTTCTATATTTTACATTTAGTTTTCAATTCAAATAAGATACATATATATGGGAAGATCAATTAAATTTCGTCACGCTTTCAAGTGGTTCGGGCCATATTTGACCCGCGGATCAGTTAGTCCATGGATCAAGTGGCTGTGGATGCTCTCTTAGATTTACATCTAGGTAGTCTTTTTAATAATACAGTGAGATATTTTTTATTGCATCTTTTTCATTTTCAGCAGCCGACGCAAAGCCACCTTTCTGTGGCAAAAACGCAGTATGCGTGAGGTTTGAACCGAACTTCAAGGTTCGATACAACGGCGCCTGTAAAGCACCAAAGTGGCAATGTATGTGCCCGCCAGACTACAGTGGTGACCCGTACGACGAATGTTATACGGAGACTATGTGAGACAAGTACAGTGTATGTAGAGTGTCAACTCACACCGCATGGAAATCAAAACTAGTATCTGACACGCGTCCTACCTTAATCTGCACAACTGAAATATCATCATATTCCTCTCTCTCTCTTTCTCTCTCGCCCCAACTCTCACTCTCCTAAAACCATACACAAAAATATCCAGAATATTAAAATATAAATTGGTGTTATGTCCCATATTATGTCACATTATGACGAAAATAGTTATTATTCCACCA